AAAAACCCATCAGTCCCCCAAAACAGAAAAAAAATTTCATCAATTGCTTTTCTTGCAGGAAAAATAACTCTCAAAGTGACTTTATTTGTGAAGTGATCATTACTTGATTTTGCTCCATTTTCATTCCAGAAATTCAGGAAAATAGCGCAATATGTTCCACTTTTATTTCCGTTTTGCTAGTAATTCATTATCGAAATGCATTGATTTGCATTGTTATCGCAGTCCTACAAAAGCCACCGCATTAATTTGGTGAAAAGCCTCTTTTTTAAGGTGACAACAATTGAAGTTTCAAAAGTATTCTTACCACAATCACATTAATGAGAGACCTAAAGTTTGAACTGTTCTCCATTAAAATAAGACAAGATAGAAAGAAAGCTTAGGAGGAAAAAAGTATAATTCTGAGGAGCATCATGGGTGGGGGGTGTGTGAGCCCCGTCCAATGGTCCTGTTAATGGAACAGAAGAGAGAAAAAGAAAGTATAGAGGGGGGAGAGAAAGAACTCGTAACAATGAAAGAAATTGAAACCACTTTATTGGAACAGAACTTACACGATAATGAGTAAAGCCCGACAAATGGTTCGATATGATCACAAGACCCCCTTATTTTCAAGCCCCTAAAAGAGAAAAAGAATAGAAGAAAAAACGAAAGAACGGCAGGGAGGAGCGGGAAGAAAGATTAGGCGACTGGGTAGCAGGGAAATAGCATGGATTTTCTGAGAAGTCTATCAAGGAAAAGGGATTTGACGTACCCATTCCCGGTGCACTATTTTCCGAAGCGGAGTAATCCCTTTTGCGCAGCTGAATGACCACGCCACCGCGGAGGAAGACATTCTGATTATCATCACAGATAGCTTTATACCAGTTGTTGCCTCTTTTTTTAGTTATTTTTTAATACCCGTCTCCCCGGCAATTCCATAGGATTTTTTTAGGGAAACAACCCTCTTTTCTTTTCTGTGGTTTAATCAGATATATATAAAAGTTCATAAACTCTTTTCTTGTTCTTTTTTTCGATCAAAACGGAAGAAAAAACACATCGCCGCTCAACTTCTTAAAGATGTGATACAGTGTAGTAAAAAAAAAAATCTTCGTGATTTTTTTTTTTTTCTTTGAAACGAGTTTCGAGCCTTACTTTTTAAAACTCCATTGTAGAGAAATTCAAATGAATTTCTATCCTCGCCAGAATGCTTTTTCTTCCCTCTCTCTCTTCTTCTCTATTTCCTTTTCTTAACTTCTTCGAATTCAATCGAGAGGAAAACAAATCTCTAAATATCATCAAAGGCGAAACTTTCCGCCGTCGCAGTTGCCACGGCAGGGAGAACAAAATGTAAATATATAAGAAAATATTGAATTTCTTCGAATAAAAGAAGCGCCATGCAGGCGGAAGATGTATCCGCATCATGCCTCGCATTTCTGAAACAACTCACAGATAAATAAGTTATCCGAGACAGCTGTATTATTAATAAACGAAGCTTTCCAATCTATTGTCTAAAGCAATGAACTTTATCTCAAGGAATTCGAGAGAGAGTTTTTATTAGTAGCATGGCAACGGTTTTTGTTTCTCCTGTATCTATAGCTGTTCTTTTTATTTTTATCCCCAAAAAGAGCAAAAAGGGGAAAAAATCTTATTTGGAATAAATGTAATCATAGACATAAAAGTAGCATATTAGAAGAAATGGCATTTCCCCCCCTCTAATTCACGCTTTATTTGTTTTGAAAAGAAGGTTAATATTCTTAAAGACTTAAAATTTATTCACTTTAATGAATCCTACATCAATTAAAATACTAAATGCAGTATAATGAATTCTATGGAAAATGTTTGCTTTTGTGATCGTTTTCAACAGACATCTATAATTCCAAAATAAATGTTTTCGCAGACTTTTTTTTTCGTTACTTCGCATTTACATGCTGTTATCTACGTTTTATTTAAATTAATTTCATTTTTTTGGTTACTATTATGTTTACAGCTTTCACAAAATGGCTTATTTGCGTCTTTCTGGTTTTAGGTTACTTATTTAATACTTTAACTGTAATCATGAACCGACAGTTTTATTAAAACTGTTAACAGTTCACTGACAATTGTTTATCCCTATCTTCCTCGTGAATGTTTTGCCATAAATTTCTCCACTTCATAATCATCATCAACTTTTAAGACAACAGATTATCCAAAAGAAGAAATTTGGCGCAAAGCCAAGACTTCATTGAGCAAGGTATTCTGCTTAAAGAATTTCAGCTCTCTTCACTTCGATTTAATTGTTGGAGCGTGGACGATTAGTGTAGCGTATTAATTCTTTTCAACCATAAATAACCATTTGAACTTTCGGAATTCTCGTAATTAGACGCAGACGATGTTAATCGACGGCTGCACCGGACGATCCTTAATCACTTTTAATGCCCGAAAAACTAAAGAAGACGAATTTAATTAATACTCCTCCGCAGAGTTTGGCTTGTTTGTTCTGAACTCCTAAATAAAAGGGATTTTACCCGCCATTGTTTTTCTAAAAATAATTAAGGACATTTTTTAAAAGATCTTATTAGAAGCTATATTTTATAAAGGCGCAAATTGACCTTCCTTTCTGTAATTAGCGAAACGGAAGTTTCAGTTGTTAAAAATTTGGAACATAAACAACTACTGTTACGTACACCAGCAAATAAAATCAATCGACTGATTTCCCAGCAGGATAATAGAATGCGAGTTTTTGTTGCCACTATGGCAGTGTGAAATTAACTGAATTTAGGCTGTGATTACTTTTTTAAAATGTCCCATTGCTTTTGTAAAAGTCATTCATCATTAAACCTTACTCGTAGAACTGAGTGAAGCCTAATTAAACTATTTTTACACCAAAATCTATCTTCATTAAAGAAGTAAATGATATAATGTAAAAAGGCTCTTTTGAAATTTACATTTCCTTAATTTCTCTTAGCGACATGTTATAATGCATACAACTTACGATTTTGATTCCTTTCGAAAGCAGGATACAATGGGTCACATTTGTTTTCAGACGCTTATATTTGCAAATATCAGTTGTTAAATAATAGCGAAATAATTTTTTTTCGAGTTCAATACTGATTAACGTTTCTAAACTTGTTTGTTTCCGAAGAAATTATTTCAAGCATCTTTATTTTTAAAAAAAATCAGTTTATTCAAAACATCCTGAAAATGAACTCACACAAGTAGACGGATACTGCATAAGTTTAATAAAAATATTAAAATAAGGGTGTTTAATATTTTTTGTTTTTTGAGTATGTTTTAGCTTTTAATTACACTTTTCATGCACTTTGCCATGGATTCAGCTACCGGTTTTCGCGTAAGAATGCACTGTTTTTCACTATTCCTCCGTGTGAATATCTTTTAGTAAAAATTTCAATGAAATATCATGTTCGCCTATCCTTTCTGGTTCCTTCCTTTTTCGTTGCAATCGGCCGCACTCTGTTATTCGGCTCAGTGAACTCATTTCTTTTTTTATTCTTATACGTTGATAAATTGTGCATTTTTGCTTTAAAAATGGATGAGTTATATCCTTCTTATCCTCCGGTTAAGGTTTAACGCCTTTAGTTAATCTGCATACAATAGTTGTAGAATTATCAACAATTTAAAAGTTGTTTAAGTGCGGCTAGGCCTAATTTTTTTAAATCACAACAGTCATATTTGTTTATATTTGAAAACTTAGCATAATAGTGAATAAGTTTCTGAACCTGCAATGTCTTTTTCCCAAGGAAAGTTTTAGTTTTGTGCACTGAAAACGTTACTTGCTCGCTGGCCGAATTGCTCGTTTTCGTGTAGAAAATGTAGTTTTAATTGTAAAAATTGTTTTATAATTGTTTTAACTGTATTTGGTGTTTTATGGTTTTATGTTTTTCCATATCTTTCACGTTTTAATGAAGATATTTTGAGGTTTTATGTATTTTTGCCTTGCCGCGAAGTGAGAATTGAATTAATTAAATGAGAAATATATATCTAATGAAATTCGAGGAATTGAGTTTAAGTGAAATGCAGCAAAAAAATGCATATAATTTAAAATTCCGTACAAGGAAGTCATGTGATGTCCGCATCATATTTTTTTCCTTTTAATTACAATGGTATCTAGGTTTGTTTAAATTATACACACTGTCTTAATCTGAATTACACATAACACATTTACCCCATAAAAAGTTAACTTCATTGAGTGCGACTTTCATAAAAAGTTAACTTCATTGAGTGCGACGCAGTATATCAATGCCATAACCCAAGCTTTTGTCTAAAGCTTATTATATAGGAATTAAAATTATACAAAACTGAGTACGCAATTCAAAATAAATTACGTCATAACTATGTCAGGAATAAATACTTTCGAAATATAATTTTATTATTTTATAAAACCTTGCATTCAAACATCCAGTAGTGATAAGTGCTCAGTTTCAGCCAGCAATTTATAATTTGAACTTATACTAACTATATATGGCTTTTGCTCTGTTTCATATCAATTAATTACTTGTTGCAAGCAGCTGTAACCACCGACTAGAACACATAGCATAAACCCTATTTCAATATTGCTGCTTACAAACATCGGCATGAATATGAGTGGAAGGGATGTTAAACCACCAGTCTTAAAACTTGCCGTTTGCTTGTTACTGGCATGACTTGAAAATGGCACTCTGAGACATTTTTGCTAAAACATGAGCTTCGTTTTATACAATGACAAAGAAACATCATTATTGCTGAAAAATAATGCAAAGAATATTTGCCATGTACTATGAGTAACTGAAAAGAAATATTAAAACCTGGCCATTGGGTAATGCTTTTATCCTCTTTACATCGTTTATTTCTTGACTTGGAATGAAAAGTTTAATTAGTGTAAACTTTTCATTATTTACCAGTATTTTCATAAACTAATGCTCAGTTTTATATTTTAATGCTCAGTTTTTATAACTAATTTTCCTTATTTTCCAGTATTTTCATAAATTAATGCTCAGTTAACAACCAGTATTTTCATAAACTAATGCTCAGTTGCATTTATATTGCAGGATCCTCGAGCTCCAAAATCTCAGCCAACCCCAAGTTCTACCACCAACGATCGGACAACTCTTTTCAATGGTCCACCACTCTCTGGTTTCCGTAACAACGAGGTACGCAGTGTTATGCTTTACGGAGTGCCTATAGTGGCATTAGTCATTGATGGCTACGAGAGACTTTGCCTCGCTCAGATATCTAATACACTTCTCAAGAGCTTCAGCTACAACGAAATCCATAATAGGAGGGTTGCTCTTGGTATTACGTGTGTTCAGTGCACGCCTGTACAACTAGAGCTCTTGCGCAGAGCTGGTGCCATGCCTGTATCTTCGAGGAGATGTGGCCTGATAACCAAACGGGAAGCAGAAAGACTTTGCAAGAGTTTTCTCGCAGATACTAGGCCTCCTAAATTACCTGACAACTTCGCTTTCGACGTCATACATCAGTGCGCCTGGGGTTGCAGGGGATCCTTTGTCCCATCACGCTATAACAGCTCAAGGGCAAAGTGTATCAAGTGCACATTTTGCGGCTTGTTTTTTTCACCCAATAAATTCATTTTCCATTCTCACCGCTTGCCGGACTCGAAATATGTTCAACCGGACGCTGCAAACTTCAATTCCTGGAGGAGGCACATCAAGCTGGGAGGCTCTCCACCAGATGAAGTTGTGTATGCGTGGGAAGACGTGAAGGCTATGTTCAATGGTGGGTCCAGAAAGAGGATCATCAGTTGCACAAGTGTTTCGAGAAGTGGAGGAAATGGAGACGGAAGCAAGCGACCACGTAATCCTAGCAGGCCTGATTCTGTTCCTAGTAGTACCGAAGCCGTGGTTCACAGCAAGCCTCCTTATTTTCCTGTAGTTCCTCTGCCTAATAAGGGTTTCGCTCTTGCACCTGCAGCTGCCCCTTTCGTGCCACCTACAGGGCCCGGACCTTTTGGGTTGGCAACTGCGAAACCCCTTTCTCCAGCGGACATCCGGCAGACTTTTGCAGAATACATGTGGGCCGGAAAGCAGCCTTTTCCTCTACCTTATGGAGGAGTTCTATGGCCGCGTCCTGGAGGTATAGTTCCTGCTGCCCCTGCGGTGGAGTTAAGGGAGACTCGAAATGTTCCAGAGACAACGCTGCCCTACAGTATAGCGGACACCACGACGTTGGCAGATTCTGGTAAATATGAATTTTCTTTCTGTTCTAAAATTATTCCTATTGTCTAAGATTTTGAAGTTTCTATATTATAATCAATATTTCCAACGAAATGCATGATCCATTTATAGTCAATAACATCGTATCAAATTTTAAAAAGGCTGTTCTTCAAAACGTGTGGAGAAGTAACAGCTTTTTGATTTGGTCATATGGAAAGGCAATAAAATTATTTTGATAGGGTTGTATCAAAGAATATTTCTGTTGCATTGTAGAATTTTATGCTTATTAACCCAATTACATCATTATTTTCTCTGTACTATCAACTCTACTTTCATCTATTGTCATCAGGATGCAAGTTAGTTAAGTATAGATTCTATGAGTTTGGGAAAGAGTAATTGGCAGCTATCACTGATTAGTTACACTCTTACTCTTCTTGCTAGTGATTTGCTTTATCGGCTTTAGCCTTTCTCGCCGCCACTGCTTCGTGAAATAATGAAAGTCTAGCAAAATTTTAAAAAACGTGTATAATTTTGTATTTAATGCTTTGATTGAACATTTATTTTACGTTTTCCTGCTAGAAGCGGCTTTTACATTCTGTAACTGTATCGCTTGTATAAGTAAGCTGATGGGTTAGTAAAAAGACTTATTTTAAATTTTCATCTGATACTGTACTATTATGCCTAGAAATAGGACCGGGCCTTCTTCTAAGCAACTAGACTTTCTTCTGCCGCCCAACCGGGATAGTGGTTAGCGACCCTGACTACCGTGCCGAAGGGTAGGGGTTCGAATCCCGCAAAAATGTTTGTAAGGTAGACTGTCTGTGAGGTATGAGGGTATGCAGCCAACCGAAAGTCGTAGGGGAAGAGAATTGGGAGGTTCCTCGGACCTGTCCCCCCGAGTGCTCTCCTTCAAATTTGGGACCGGAGCTGAGCAAAGTCGTCATTTGTATGGTGCCCAAAGCTGTTGCCAACGACAAGCGCAATCATGAATCCTTGCCACAATTAATTTCATGCGCTTGTTCTGATATCAGACAAGCGAGATAAGTCACAATAACAGCAACAACAGACTTTCCTGTTTTGTCTGCATGTTTTTACAGCTCTAGGAGTTAAAACATAAAACAGTAAGGAACCGTACAATGTTACCTGAAACCTTTCTTTTATTTAGTTTTTCCTTAGATTAACCAAATTATTAATTAGATAACTAAATTTATTAAATTAATAATAAAAAGTAAACACCGTTTCACCTATTTTGATTAGCAAATAATTTCATGAATACTAGTGCCAGAACATTAATAAATATCTAAACGATGAACAGCGAATTTGCTAAAAAAAATAATACCGAAACAAAACATGTTCTGGAATACTTTACAGTTGTTTAGGTTTCTAAATAGGACTCCTTTACGATGACTTTTCGGAATGTATATTACAATCATAAAACAATGTATTATTTTTATATGGAGAATTTAGAATTTTTACACTGAATAATCTATTTTTTTTACTTCATTAAACCAGGCATTTTCACTACCGCCCAACCGGTATAGTGCTTAGCGTCGCTGACTGCCGTGCCGAAGGGCCCGGGCTCGAATCATCTCAGAGAAGGCATGGATGTTTGTAAATGTATAGTGTGGGTGATACTCCGAATATGCGGTGAGCCTAAAGTCCTCTCGTGTGGTTTGGTAGAAGGGATGGGAGACCTTTGGACTCGTCATCCCCCTGGGGTGCTCTCGTGCTCTCCATCAAAATTGGGGCAAAATCACACTGTCACCTGTAAGGTACTCAAGTACCTGCCCCTGTAAGTACCTGTAAGGTACTGTTGCCAAAGACAGGAGTATCTTGAACGCTCGTTGCCATGAGGAATTTCGTGGGTTTGGTTTGATGTTACTGTCAAACAAGTGAGCATAAGTAACAACAACAGACATTCTCACTTATTTTGCCCCATATCCCCATTTTCACCAATGCTAGACGATCATTTCCGCACTCCATTCCAAAATTTAAAAAACACTTATTCATTTAAATTTCGATTATTTCGTAAAGCGTTTAATAAATTAAACAAGGTGATCTATGGAAAATATTGATGAAATAATTAACAATTAAATAAAAGGCTGACCTCATTCCCCCTGAAATTATGAAATCCCCCCTAGTTAAGTTACTTTGTACTAATTAGTGTACAAAGGTACACTCACTTCCAAAAGTTAAGCACAGAGAGGAAAATGCTAATTTCCGGAAGCCAATCAGAATTGAAGAGGATACAATTCACTGCAGGGATAGATGGAAGTATGCAAATATGTTAGGTAACAGCCAGTCGCGCTTTCATGTCAAGAAATATGCAAAAAAAGCAGTCTTATAAGAAGCCAGCTTTATGAAGGGTTACAGAAGTTGATTGTAAGTGCTGATAGAAGATGTCTAAAACTTTCGTACAATTTGTTTTCAAGACATACGTGTTTCTATGACTTCCAGAAGAGGAATGGAAGATTCTGAGCGCTTGCGTGCTGTGGGGCGCATTGAAGCGGGATAGTCGATCACAGATGCTGCTCTTTTCTTTGGCGTTCATTATTCTGTAATTACATGTTTATGGAAACAATTACAAACCACACAGACAGTTGTCCGAAGGCCCGTAGCCGGTCGCCCAAAGATTACAACCCCCGCGGAAGATCGATATATTGCTATTGTAGCCAAGCGGAATCGCAGAGCAACCTCCACACGAGTGACATCTATGGTTACAGCGTCCATTGGTAAGGCGATATCCGCAGCTACTGTATGCCGAAGATTACATATGAGTGGACTGTACGCCCGGGTACCTCGAGTTTGTGTTCCTCTATCCGTCCAATCAAGAGGGGCACGATTACAGTGGTGCCCGGAACATGTCAATTGGAATGTGTCTGACTGGGACAATGTCATGTTTACTGATGAGTCAAGATTTGCTCTGGAGCCAGATGACAAGCGTATAAGGATATGGCGTGAACAACGAACACGCAATCAGTCCCAAAACATCACCGAACATCACGCATTCCGAGGCGGAAGCATTATGGTGTGGAACAGGGATTTCATTAGGATACCGCACCGACCTGCACATCTTTAACATGGGGTTCTTTGACGGCTGTCCTGGTATCGAGATGAAAGTCCTAGAAACCATTGTGAGATTGTAAGCTGCAGCAGTTGGCCCTACTTTTGTTTTGTCTGATAATAACGCACATCCCTTATAGAGCTGACATCGTCGATGACTACTTGGAGAGTGAAGGGATTGCGCGTATGGCGTGGCCAGCCTATTCGCCCGACCTTAATCCCATTGAAAATCTTTTGGATGCTCTCGGCCGTGCTGTATCTTCACGTTTTCCACCTCCAGCTACTCTTATTGTGCTGGAAACTACTGTACAAGAAGAATGGCGATTGCTTAGTTCTGCGGTGGTAGACCACCTAATTGAAAGCATGGTCACAAGGTGTAAACTTTGTATACAGATGAGGGGGGGATCACATACCCTATTAATGTCCTTTCTTTTCATTTTATGCCGTTTATTTTCACTTTATACATAATTCTGTTTAAGTCTCCAGTATGTCATTATCTGATAACTTACAAAAATTTAATATTATTTACATTTCTGTACATAATTATTGATTTTGTTTTATCATAAATATATACGCTACTCTCCTGCCGAATTTCGTGTCAATCAAAGCAGTATTTGTTGATTTTTTTGCATTTTACATCTTCGTGCTTAACATTTGGAAGTGAGTGTATTATATGCACTACACTTTCACTCAAACTGTATGCACTGGAGTTGTTAGCCGAAACGTGCAGTAATACTTGAGGTTAAGAGATAAGTGAGACGAACGACAGCCGTGGAACTCAGAGTCCTATTTTGCGTATAAATACATACGAATTTTCGTTAAATAGTATAAGATATTTCTGCCTCATTCTTAGCATACATTCGTAGTGTAGTGGTCAGCACACTCGGCGCATATTTGAGAGTTCTGAGGTTCGAGTCCCGACGAAGGCATTGCTCATTTTTCACATCTCTTGCTTTGAAATAACCTAATATCTCTACAATAGTACCAGGTTCTTAAGAAAAACATTTGTTTAGAAGAAAAGTATGTAGTTAAGGGTGTAGAGTCCTTACATATAAAAGCAAAATAACATTAAAATAAACACGTTGCATCAAATGAGTTTATTTCAAGGCTGGTTTCTTCATGAAATTAAGCTTCTTTTAGGAAGCAATTTATGATTATCAAAGGGCAAAAAGACAAACTAAAGAAGTATTTGAATTCCGCTTTTCGCTTTTACTGTTCCAAAGAATGGAATCGTAACTGCCCTTAAACGTGCACTTAAACGTAAAACAATTTCACTGCCTGTGAACATTGATATCAATTTGCAATGACTCGTCACTTTCTCTTTCGAAGTAAAGGAAGTACTGTTATCCCGAAAATTTTATGGCTGCAATGTTTCGAGGAAAGTATCCATTTTGACCGCTATCGAATCGACTTGAATTATTATTTTTTTTTTTGTGTGTGTGGGTGTGTATGTGACACCCGCGCGTACTGACAGAATAAAGGACTCTTTTTTCCAAAATGTTTGTAAAACGGATTTAAAATGCATTCACAATAGATCTTTTTTGTGACGTCTTAATATAAGCACGTATGTATGTCTCATAACTCAAAAACGAGTAGATATTAAGATTTAAACCTTGATATTTTGTATATGGGACTGCTATAACCTGTAGTTTTCCTTTGCAATCGCCAGTACCAAACACATATATATATGGAAATATGGAATGGGTATATATATAGCCAGGTGATGGAAGGGGTACATATATATATGTATATATATATATCCCCTTCCATAACCTGGTTTGGTGAGTTCAGTTTTTTTAATCTTATATTTTGGTAAATTGCACATTTTTTGCTTTAAAAGTGATTGAACGATATTGTTCTTATGTTCCAAGTTAAGACTTCTATGCCTTTAATCTGCATGCAATAGTTGTAGAAGTATAGACCTTTTAAAATTTAAATGGCGCTTGTTTACATTTGAAACTC